TATATATATATATATATATACTTATATGTTTATATATTTATATTTGTATTTATATTTATATATAACAATAAAAAGCCCTTGAAACTACAAATTATGCTTTACGATTACTGAGCAAAAGCTGACTTTGACATGCATTATATTTCATATGTAACTTCCTTAGCTACCAATGCAAAATTGTTCTCAGTTGATTTTATTATTTTTTTCATCAAACTGCATTCTAGTTCCTTAGCAAAGCGACTGGACGGTGAATTCCACCAGATACTCCGGTCGCCATTCCTAATTCTTCATATTTACAACGCCGAAACATATCCTCTGCCGACTATGAGAAAAAAATTATAGAACCAGAACTTCACCAACGGCCTCTCACCATTCTTCATTACAAGGTATGCACTTCGAAATAATGTTTTAAAACTTAGATTTTTTAGATGTCCACCTGAAATTAATTTTTGCTACCTATTCTTATTACCTTCCACGCCATCGAAGAACTTGAAACTATTCTTTTGAACCATTATTAAACGTACGCTATGCCTAATACAATGCAAGTAATATTCATGTATCAGCAGTCACGATAATGCTATTCTTCGTCATCCATGTCTAAACAATCTTAAAAACTCTAAAGCTAATTTTAATTGTTACAGTCTCCTGAAAAACGCAACATTATCCTAGAAAGCCAAAAGAAAAAATTTAAAGAAAAGAAGCTAGTCCACTAAATTTTACTCGTCTTCAAACCATTTTTATGATTTGCAACATCTAATAATTATTAATTTTCTCGTTAAGCAATTTTCCAAAAATTTCAGTAGACAGCAAAAGAAGCATAAATAGATTAAATAAAATAAATTCTAACGTAAAAATTCCTAACGTCTTTAAAGCAAACCATACAGTTTCAAGTACACCAGTTCTAAATCCTTAGACAACAGATTTTTTATTTCTTTTTTTTTTTTTTCAAAATAACAGTGATACAGCCAAATCCCCGATCAACTTGCCTTTTTTGTCTCTAATTTAATAAGAAACTAATAGAATAAGAAATCCCATTACGGTGCATTTATGTGATGTCCCAACGGATAAACATCCATAGTTGTAACTTGCTGATGTTCGGAATCCTCCGTTCCTATATGTACTGTTTCGGCACCAAGGCCGACAAATTCTGTATTGCCTGGTGAAAGACCGTCTGAAGCGTTGACGTAGGCTGAGTTAGCAATCCCCTGCTGAAATACGTCTGTTGCCGCATGTACCGCCTCAGCCGCAGCTGCATTAACGTTCAGTTGATCTCGTAGATCGACATCAGTCACTGCAAACCAAAAATTAAAAATACCAAATCTACCAATAAGACAGTAAAACACCTGTTAAGCTAAAACCTATATGAATTAAAACCCACAAACATTTCGTCTCAGAAAAATAGTCGTGGTCTTAAAAATACTTATTTTTATCTTAAGTTTTTTTCCACCCATCTCACTCTTCTTCGTCTTTTTCAGCAATGCCATTGTTAATAGTTAAACTAGTTTTTAATACCTATACAACTTTAAAATTTTAGAGATTTTGATTCATGAGAAAGCAGCGCACTGACCACTAACGTAGCTCAACCTTGTAATTAGTGATGCAAAATACAATAAAAAAATTAGCAATTATAAAAATTTAGAACAAGCAGAAAAATGAATTTATTCTTTTGTTCTCAGAATCACCAAACGTTGGTAAAAAAACTTTATGAACAATTTTAAAGTCGCAACTAAAACCGCTGCATAAGTCCGTGTTTTTCACCGTGATAAAGGAAATCAATACTTATACCGTACCCTGACTACCGTAATCTTAACCAACAACTTAAATTCAACTAAAACTAAAACTTTTAATCCTATCAAACTTTTCTTCAACCACCATAAACAATTTACCATCACTTTACGCCTGGAACCCAAATATAGAACACAAAAAAAAGGAAAAAGAACTAGCCTTTCACACTAAAAAAATATAACATTAAGAGAACATAATAAAAATCACTAAAATCATCAATGTGAGCAGATCCTTAACTGCTTGTTCCCGTTAAGTAAGTACTCCTTGATTTTCCCCTAACTATTCCAAACCAACTTCCCTGCGCAAACAAAAACTTTAAAGCGGCTTCTCTGATTATCACAAACTCAAAAAAAGTTAACAAAAGCCGTGAGCACTTCATTTCAAGCAGTTTTCCAACTTTTTTTTTACACTTCCTCATAATGACCATAATCAAGAAAAAGAGGCAAAAAAAAGGTATTAAGAAAACGTAAAGTATTTAAGAACCTAAAAATGCGAGTTAACTAATACATTTACCTTCATTATCTCTCATTACTGGCAAACACGGATAGCAAAAGAATCAGCAGTCGTAGTGAACGGAGAAAATTATTTGAAAAAGTAGCCTAAACTGATAAAAATAAAAATGTTCAGGTGAAAAGATTCCAATTTCCAGATGAATAAAGTTTTTAATACACCGCGTCGCGTTTTAGTCCAACAAATCAATTCCCGTTCTTTTTCTCATAAACCTAAGCAATTAAGTTTGATATTTAGTTTTCAAGCTAAAGCTGCACCGCGTTTTCTTTGTAAGGTCCCCCCTCCTTTTTTCTTTCCCTCAACCTCACTACTACCACCGCCACCACGTTAATCGCCATCGCTGCTGCTGCCGCCGTTGCTGTTGCTGCTCCTTCTGCCCCCATGCTAACAATTCAATAATAACCATTTACCACTCCGTCTCTCCCTATTCACTCTTCTTTGAAGACCTATACAATAAAATAAAAAAAGAAATTCTATGCATGCCAGAAAAAGAATTCTTTTCCTCCTTCTGCTGTAAAAACGCTCGTGTACAAGAAGAGAAAAATTCTTTCACTTACTGATACGCATTAATACATCTATTAAAACATAGAAGTGCACAGATATTATTGCTAACTTAGAACATGACAAGGACACAATCGATCTCATTAGCTATAAATCCCCCACTGGAAGCAATAGCAACAACAGGGAGCAATAAGGATAATGACAGCGGTGATAGACAAAAATAACAGCATCCGTTCGAAGAGAATTTTATAAACGACTTTCGAAAGGCATGACTGATACACCTGTAGACAACTGCAGCGCATCTCTAAAGTTTTTTTATGAACCAAACTGAATAAGGGACGACCAATATTTTCAATATTTGACTTAATACTAAAACATTTTCTTTGTTCTTTAGAAAAAAGTATTCAACAAACACACAAGCACCACTTGCTTTTCTACTCCCCTTAATCATAAAAACCACATATCGATACAACTGAATAAGAAAAAACAAGAAACTGACAGAAAAACGGACTTCATTCAATTTTCTATTACAGGTGAAATCGCTTCGGTTTCAGTCTATCGTATCAAAAGTTGAGACGCAGTTCAACAAAGTGCTCACCAATTTTTTTTTCAACCTCTAACCTCCATGACCTGCATTCAATAAATCTTCCTCTTCCACTTCCGTCCTTTAACTTCCCGTTTTCGTCTTTCTGAACTAACTTGCTAAACAAACAAAAATCCTTACCCATTCCATCATGACCCTCAAATAAAATATTTTCCTCTCTCCTCACCTGAACCACACAGAAAAACGTATCAATGATCCAAAAATTTCGAATGTGCTTTACTCTTTATACTTGCTCAAAAATGGTTTTTAACCATAAGCAGCTCATAATGCCCACAATGACAACGAAGGTTAAAAGCAATTTTTAAGTGTCTCCTCTCCCCATCAAAGGTGATCATTACTGCCAGAGTAAATCCACATCAACGTCCCTTCATCGTAACTGACTTTGGAAATTAGGTAAAAAAAAACTTAAAAAATAAGAAATTTCAAAAAAAATATATCATTAGCAACTACAAGAAAAATAAGATCAATAAAATAAGACAAATTAGCCAAGGTCAAAGTTGATTTGCAGTAGTCAAACAGAAGCAGATTAAAATATATCTCGAAAATTGCCCACAAACGAAACACCTGCAGGCGCAGTCGCGCGCCAAACCTATAAACCCCTTTAATAGTAGCAATGACTATTATTACTCTTAACTATCACAACTAAAGCGGCCATAATTAAAACAACCAGAAAAAAATTTTTTTCCTGCCTGATCAACATCAACAGCAGCAACTGCAGGAGCAAAGCTTGGCACCTTTTCTTCAGCCATACAACTTTCTCATGTTTCAAAGCTGCTCACACACCCTATT